TTTTTTCTTTAATATATATATAGATTTTATGTCTTGGAAACTTTGAGATCAAAAGAAGTCTGTTTATAAAACGTTTCTGATTTTAGATTCGGGTTATTGATTCTAACGAAAGCTATGGACAAGTAGTACCTTGCCACCAATTTCCCCTTGAAGCACTGCTTCCATTAGGATCTTCATCGCCTCCACTTTTCTTGAACTAATCAACCAAAACGAGATCATTAAACACTGTTAATTCCAAAGTGTTTGTTGTTCTTTCTGTTAACGGAGATGTGGGAGATACTCACGGTGCGCTGAAAGCAAGTGTTGTGGCTAGTTGGAGGATAAACTTCTTGGCCACCATAGTAGATGGATGAACTAAGATATCTTGGTTCTGCTGTTTCAGTTTGGTATATTGGATTCCTCTCCTTTTCACCCTTGTTTCTTTGTGTTTTCAAATCTGAAGAGTGGAGGGAGATTTATAAAAGGGATTTACTTATTTCATACGTGAATTTAAGCTAATTACACTGAGAATTTATACCAACCTGTTGTTGAATGTTTGGGATTTCCAAAATCCTGTTTTTTCGATGATCCTGTGTACTTACAGTGAGATGACTCTTTTCCTAGACCCTGAAATAGTGATGGTGAAATTAATTAAATAAACAAACAAGTGACAAAGATAGATAACGAACAATTAAGCAACAGTTAACATCAAGTGTGATGGCAACAATTCATATGTAGCCTGAATTTAGAAACTCGTTTGGATCATGCAAGGGGTAGATAATGTGAAAAGCGAGAAATGATCTTCGTTTCAATCAAACCTTCAAACATTGGTCCATAGATGATAGACCGATATCAATTCATTGTACTGTTCTAGCAAAGTAGTACCGCTTGCAAAATTTCCACGTGAATGAACCAACAGTGGTCACTTACCAAAATTGCATAGATTGGTTGAATCAAACTTTTGCCAGCAATGAGTTGAAAAAGGTCTAAATTAAACTTATAGAGCTACGTTGTAAACTTAATAAAATCGTTCTAATTGCGGACTGAACAGTGACAGCCCCGTTATGAATTRAATTAGTAGATAGAATCTGACTAAATCAACTTATCTAGATCTACCTACGATAAGTATGCAAATGCTTGAGCTGATCAACCGGAAAATATAAAGGCATACCGTGGAAGAAGGGCCAAAAACAGAGCCAAACAGGCCAGAGGAAGAGGCGCCGCCGTCCTTAGGACCAAATAGAGTTTCAGCAAATGATGAAGACGAAGAACCTCCAGATTGTTGCTTCYYGTTCTCCATTATCGCTTGATTTCGCTCTTGCTTATACAATATMTAACARAATTGAATAAAATTTCTTYGGAATTYTGTCACCAACAAAGCAAAACTACCTCGATCAATCGATGMAAAATCAATAAAACCTCCGGACGATCAAAGAAGCGTYGCTGATACTGAGAAAATTTCARATTGGAGAATAAGGGATGGCGAGAATGCGAATGGCAGGCAGAGTGGAAGAGAGGGATARGGAGACAACACGTGAGATTGTTGTTTGATGCAGAGTAMATCAAACGGCTTTTGGTATTTATATAGGTCAAAATGGATCGGGCCGRGTTTTACACTCCCGTTTCCATTCGGGTATCTAACATASGTTAACTTTTGTTCGTTAAGTTCAGTTAAATGAGGGTATTTTAGTCATTTKYACTATTTTCATAATTTATATTAAAATTTAAAAAARCATATTATGTTTTTAAGTTTTAATTGTAAAAAGAAATAAAAGAAAAACAAAAGATGGTAGTTGCCCCTTTTTTTCTCTTTTACAATTTGAAATTAAAAATATAATATGTTTTTTCTTTATTAAATATAAAATTGAGAAAATAATGAAATACCTTTCATTTAACTGGATATAACGAAAGAAGTTAACGATTGTTAAACAAAGAGACCAAAACCGTTGGGACTTGAGACATGAGGGACTAAAATCTGATTTTTAAAATTTAGGGATGATATTAGTTGAAAATCGCAAAAGTTTGGGGAGCAAAGTTGAACTTTATTCTTAGCTGATAATATTAAAATGTTATTTGAGGTCATATTTAATACGTGTTAGGGATTTTTGCTACTTTTTTCTAATTATGTCCTCCTATTTTTAGTTGTTATTAATTATTATTAAATTTTAATTTTTAGTAATTAATTAGTATTAATTACAAATTGTTAATTAGTATAAATTTTAATTTGTATTTATTTCAAATTATTGATTACTATTAAGTTTTAAATTATTACTTATTTTATATTATAATAATAATTATTTATTTAATTATTTTAATCAGTCAAACATTGTATATAAATTTTTTATAATGTTTTTGTAAATTATATAAATATTAAAGTTATATAAATAAATTCAGATTAAATCATTATTGTAAATTATCTAAAGGAAATTCTGATTAATGGTTTTAACAAAATATTAATTTCAAAATTGACAAAATAGGTATTTAAATAGTTATTTTTTAGAGAATGACTATTTAATTAAGATATGTATAATTGACAATTTTGTTTTTATTTATATCATATGTAAAGATTATTTATAAATTATCAAGTTAATGTACGCATATCTTTTATAGACTAAATATTTGGTTAAATAAATTTGTATCCGTAATTAATATATGTATATATATATATATATATATATATGGTTGGGTTTACGTGAGACCAGCCTGTTTTCGTGAGACCCGTGAGACTACATTTTTACACGTAACCTTCACAACAAAAACACTGTGAAAGTTTAAAAAAAGTCGAACCTTCACAGCAAAAACACTGTGAAGGTTTTAAAAAGTCACCTTTACAGCATTTTGTTGTGAAGTTTCAAGTGTAAAATTTTGGTCTCACCGGTCTCACAAAAACAAGTTGGTCTCACATGATCCCAAGTCTATATATATATATATATATATATATATATAATATATATATATATATAGGTTGGTTATTATACAACCCTTGACATTTGTGCAACCAATACAACTCAATCTCAACCGTCCATTTCATTTGATTAATATGTGATTTCATAGAAGTTTTTATTGTTTCCTAATATAAGGTATCGATCATAATTAATGAACCCATAAATATTAAAATCATAATAAATGAACTCTCATCATTTCCATAAATATCTTAATATATTGGGTTGCATTGGTTGTACAAATGCGATGGGTTGTATAATAACCAAACTCTATATATATATATATATATATATATATATAAAGAGAGGGGGTGTTTCAGGTTCAATTAGAAACCTCATTTTCAATAAGAATCAAAGAACCATCAAGCAYGTGTCRCATGTCCATATTCACATTCATGAATATGGACAAGACATCATGAATGTTTGTATTCATAATGAATATCGTACTAAATTCACGTCCATATTCATGATGAATATAGACACATGACTCGTTCTCAGTTTTTCCCACTTTTAATGAAGATGAGTTTTCTAATGAAATCTCTGTGTGTGTGGATAAATCAAATAAAATCGTCTCAAAATTATAAATTATGAAAATCAGTTTGTATTTGTTGTTTCATAGATGAACCAACACATATGGACATGCAATGTCTTGTTTCATAGATGAAACTCTAAGGAATGTTTTGCTTGTGAAAAACACAAAAAATACGCTTATACAAGAACCACACACTCATACTCATATAATAACAAAACATATGAAACAATATAATCATATGTTAAAGATCGAACTCACTGGATGTCATCTATGAAATAATACATAAAATTGGTTTCTACATTTTGTAACTTCTATAAGAATCCTATTTGAATTGTGTTATATATATGATGTGTGTGTATTTGTAGCTTAATTATTTGAGAACTCCACAATT